TTAAATTGCAACTTTAATTTAAGTTGCAATTATTATAAAAATTGCAACTTTAATTTAAGTTACAACTATTATAAAAGCTGTAACTTTTAAATAGTTACAACTATAAGTTGCAACTATAATAAATTTTATAAAGTTGCAACTTATATAATTTAATTGCAGTTACCAACTTTACATGGAAAATATATTTTATCTGGATTTCCTAATAGCATCATTATAGGTTTACTTTGCTCTTTAGTGGTTGTTGAGGTTAGGCTAATAAAGAGTCATTAAATTAGCATAGTTGATAAATAGCTGTTCTAATTTCTTAGTGAGTTCATTCACTTCAGCATTGGTAACTATGATTTTAGAAGTAGAAACTGTAGTAATACTAATATCTTTGGAGACTTGTCCAGAAGCGAAATTATATCCAATTTTAATAGTTTGTATAAAGTTTACAACAGCATCTAAATTGGCTGGATTTTGTAAGTAGACTAACGGAGTGTAAGCAGGATTTAGTCCTATAAGAAACATTCTTTTCTTTTGTACATTGTCTATTAGTTCTACACAAGTTACTAATTTCTTAAATTTATTAGTATAAGAATCTACAGATTTATCTGTTTATTGTCACAAAGAAGTTAATTCCTAGTATTATTGATTTTTCTTAGTTTCACTGATAAAATGAGCTTTAAATAAATCTACAAAGTTTTGATCACTATTTGCTTCAGTATTCCAATTTTCTCTCATCATTGTAGTAACACTATTGAACCAGTCAACCACTGCACCTTTAAGGTATCCTCTAGCAATGACTTATTCTGTATTTCAGTGATCCATCTGTTGATAATTATAGCTCTTTCAAATGCAGTGAGCAATTCTACAGGGTCTTCATTTTCAGCTCCTGAAAAATAGTTAATTTTAATAGTAGATCTTTCTTCTCTTTGAGCTAGTCAGAGTCATTTGCTAATATCTGTTAAGTATTGTCCATTATTTCCAAAAATTTCTTGGAAAATGGCTCTTATTTCATCTCCTGAGACAGCTATTATTTCAGTTTCAACTGGGATGAATTAGAGAAGAAGTTTAAGCTAGATGCAGAAGGTGTTGAAGAAGCAACAAGCTGTTGTAGTAATTGTCGATCTGCTATAAGCCTTACTAGATCCTGTTCTAAGATTTCAGTATATACCCTTGAAGAAATAGATAAGGTAATAGGTTGTTGAAAATAATTTGTTCAAAAGGATATGCCTTGTATGTACAAATATATTATGTCTGCTGAAAAAGGTTAAACACAATATTAAATACTAGCAAGAAGCTGGTAAATAACCTTTATTAGGCAAGAATTATGATGTTCAGATTCAGAAATACCACTAAGTTGTTCAAATAGGTTAAAGACAATAATAGTCCTTGAGGTAAAAGTGTCTGCTTAATATTCGCATCTAAACCAGCTCCAGAAATTCTTGAAGCTATTGAAAAGAGTTTTGAGTGAAGGGTAGATAACACTAATTGCAAGTATAATCTTGGTTAAGAGGTTCATCTAAGTAATGCCTAACTATATGTTTTGATGTAATTCTTTCAAGTTTTTCAAAATTCATATACCTTGCTAGTTCTTCAATGATTCGTTGTATATATCTTCAATAAAATTCTCCTGACAGAAATCATTACTTGTTATGCCTAAACACTACATCATTAGGATAACAAGCTTATTTGCTAACAGGAAGTTTAAGTTATAAACTATGAAAGAAATAAATACGAATTTATTTAAGTTGAAGAGTCAGATCGTTTTTATTGATGATTTATATTTTAAGAAAATGGATATTGATAAAGATATAGTTTTATGTTGTTAAGATTATACTTTTTTAATTGTATGATAAAAAACTTGTTAGTTTATCAGGGCGACAATACAGAATATTTATATAAGATACAATTATAAGAAAGAAATAATAAATATAATAATGAAAATAAATATAATAAATAAAATAATGATAAACGTAATAATAAAGAAAATAAATATCACAACAATAACTATGATAACAGTGAAATTAGTGAAAATGATGATCACGATTTTCCTAGTGATCATTGGTGACATTAACTGACGCAATCATTTAGTGACGCAAATGGATTATTACTAATAATGATAATCATGATGATTTCTATTTTCTTACAGATCACAATTAATAAAATAATTTTGTAACATTAATGGATTATTACTAACAGCATAAGCATTAATATCCATCTCCAACTTTAATATATCAACCTCCAATTTAGGAATTTCATTCTTTTTATATTGAAGTTGAGAATCTAACGATCCAAGGTTCTTATAAAATCTCTTCTATTGCATTTACTACTCTTTTCTTATTATGTTATCTATATGCATTAGCATTCATCTCTAAATTCAATATTTCAATTTTTAATTTAGAAATTTTATTCTTTTTATATTGAGTTGAGATTCTAAAAATCCAAGATTCTTTTGAAATTTCTGCCATTGCATTTCAAAGTAAACATGATTTTTTTTTCAATTTCACTATTATTTTAAATATTACTTCAATTGTAAATCTTGAACAAATAATGCTTTTAAATATTTTTTGTTCATCACTACTTATTGTACCTGATTATTTAATAAGTTTACTTTCTAATATTATTATATGTTACTATATTTTGCTGAAAGGATCCTACTTGCTATGTTAGAATCATAAATTTAATAATAATCATGATCATGATGATTTTTATTTTCTTATAAATCACAATTAATAAAATAATTTTGTAACATCAATAGACTGTTACTGATAATATAATAGCATCCATCTCCAACTTCAATATATCAATCTTCAATTTAGAAATTTCATCCTTTTTATATTAAAGTGAAGATTCTAGGGATCCAAGATTTTCTTGAAACCTCTGCTATTTTGTTTCAAAGTAGACATGATCTTATTTTAATTTTGTTATCATCTCAAATGTTGCTTCATATCATCATGTTTTGCTGAAAGCAATCCTACTTGCTTATATTAGAATTATGAATTTGGTGATAATATTTCTTACAGATCACAATTAATATAATAATTTTGTAACATCAATGGATTATTACTAACAGCATAAGCGTCAGCATCCATTTCCAACTTCAATATATCAACCTCCAATTTAGGAATTTCATCCTTTTTATATTGAAGTTGAGAATCTAACAATCCAAGGTTCTCATAAAATCTCTTCTATTGCATTCACTACTCTTTTCTTATTATGTTATGCATATGCATTAGCATCCATCTCTAACTTCAATATTTTAATCTCCAATTTAGGAATTTCATCCTTTTGATTTGAAGTTGAAATTTTAAAGATCCAAGGTTTTCATGAAATCTCTTCCATTACATTTCAAAGTGAACACGGTCTTTTTCCAATATCGCTATTGTCTCATTTTACTTCAGAAGTAAATCTCGAGCTCATAGCGCTTTTAGATACTTTATGACCATCGCCACTCATCGCGCCGGATTGGTCGATAACTTCGCCTCCTAACGTCACCACGCACACCGAGTTTCGCTAAAGGCGATCCTAATCGCCTGTGTT